TTTCTCTAACATCCTGAAAAGTGAAAAGATAAACATTCAAGAAGCTCAACAAACCCCAGGAAGGATAGACCCCAAAAGAAAATCACCAAGACATACCATAATCAAGCTCTCCAAAATCAAAGATAAGTAGACACTTCTGAAAGCAGCCAGGGAAAACAGAAGTGTCACATACAAAGGCAAGCAAGTCAGATTAAGCTTGGCTCTCTCAGCAGAAACCATGCAAGCATGAAGGCAATGGGGAGACATATATAAAACCCTGAAAGAAAAAAAAAAAGATGATGAAACTTTTCAACGAATTCTTTAAAGTTCCCTCATATACCTCATGGGACAGATTACCTGTTAATATTCCCTACTCAACTATAAAGGAGCTATGGGTGAATAGTGGTTACAAGTTGAACTGTTAACCTCAAAGTCAGCAGTTCTAACCTACCAGCCATTCCACAGGAGAAAGATGAGACTTTCTGCTCCTGTAAAGATATACAGCCTCAGGAACTCTATGTAGGGTTGCTATGAGTCAGAACCGAATCCACGGCACACCACCATCACCAATCAACTGCAAGCTCTCAGAAATTGGAGACTGGGTCTTCTGTGTCTTTATATCCCTAGTCCTACAGGTCTGCTTCAGGGTGTTGTTGTTAAGTGCCATGGGGGTAGGGTTAGCAACTGTCCCTTTGTGTATTAATGATGGTGGGGGTTTTTGGGGGGCGTGGGGGCTTTTTTCATGTGCACTTTTTCCTAAAACCATGCTCAACTTTGTTAATGAAGTCTCAGATTCTACCAACAAATGTGCCTCACAGAGATTACCTAAGTCTCAGGATCCTTTTCTGGGAAGCTAGATATTCATCCCCCCAGTCATAAAAGGGCAGAAAACTATGACCCTATAGAAGGGACAGAGAAGGTGCAGGCCTCCCCTCCCCCACCCCACCCCCATCCCAAGAACTAAACTCCTTGCACTCTTCTCCGTCAAATCTCAGATTGGAACAATTTATCTTCACTTTCAGGAACGACTCTGAAGTCATCTTTTCATTTTGAACATCAGGAGATTATTTATTTCTTTTCCTTCTTTTCACCATTCTAAGACACTCTGGTAGTGTAGTTGTTACAAGTTGGGCTGATAACCTCAAGGTCAGCAGTTCGACACTACCAGCCATTCCACAGGAGAAAGTAGAGACTTTCTGCTTCCATAAAGATTTACAGCCTTGGAAACCCTATGCAGGGTCCCTATGAGTCGGAACCGACTCCACGGCACATAATCACCACTACCACCATGTCTTGGAATCCTGGTGTGGCGCTGTGGGTTAATGTGCAAAGCCGTTTGAACTGCAAGGTCGGCAGTTCAATCTCACCACTTGCTCCCATGAAACCTTATACAGGGTAGCTATGGGTCAGAACTGACTCAACAGCACTTAACAACAACAACAAACCAACCCTTAGGGAGTGCGGTGGCTCCATATGATAAACACTGGACTATGAAACACAAGGCCCCTGGTCCGAGCCCGCCAGTCGCTCTGAAAGAAAAAGATGAAACTTTCTGCTCCTGTAAAGATTTAATGCCTTAGAAACCCTATACAGGGTTGTTATGAGTGGAACCAACTAAATAGCACTAACCAACAATAATCAAGTGAGAGGTAATGCACTGGACCACAAGGTGAGTTTGAACTGCAAGACTCTATACAGAAACCCTATGCAGGGTGGCTATGGATTGGAACAGCACCACCACCAACAATGCATATAACAGGTGCTCAGTTAATCCTCCCTGCATGATTGATACGAGTCCCTTCTTTGGAAAGCCCCTTGTCATCTGATGAGGATGGTATCAGTTAGAACCTGCAGGGTCTCCTAGCTTTCACTCTGAGTAGCAGGGACCAGGAGTAAGTACACGCTACTATTGCTTCCCCACTGTGCTCCGGATGAACTATGGTCACACCCTGCTTCTGCCTTTCTGCATTTTCTCATCTCTTAAGTAGACCCACCTGGCAATGAGCATTATGCCCTTTTGCCTTCACCTCTCCCCTAGTTGATGAGGATCTGTGTGATCCTGGTGTTTGTTTAATCCAAGCATCAGGGAGTGTCAAGAGCTCCAGAGGGAAAAATAGGACAAACATCTCTATGGTAAGGCCCCATTGGTAGGCTGATTGCTCACTGATAATCTCCCTCATCTGTTGTTATGTTGATGGGCAACCCTAGGTAGGCTTTCTGAGACTGTAAATCTTTACAGAAGCAGACAGCCTCATCTTTTCTCCATGCAGAGCAGATGATGGATATGAACCACTGACCTTGTAGTTAGTAGTCCAGTGTTTATCCTACAGAGCCACCAGGACTTCTCACCTGAGAGAGGATTGTCAAATGCTGCTAAGAGAGAAAGCAGTGCTTCCTGTTAAGATTATCCTCAGAGCACTAGACAGAAGATTCCTGTGTTCTAACTCCCCCAGTGCCTACCCCGGCATCCTGGAGAGAGAGATGGTAAGGTGAGACTCAAGGGCCAAAAGAGCCTTGGGTAGATGCATTTTCCTGCTCCTAATGACTGTGACATGCACAGAAATGATAACTGAGGTGAACTGTCTTGTAGGAGAACTTTGGAAGGCAAGAACAAAACTTTGAATCACATTACAATGAGATCTTGGAAACACTTGCTCAAAAATATGAAGAAAAAAGACATGCTCTAGGGGAGAAGAAGAAAGAGAAGCTGGAAGCCTTGTACGGACAACTAGTCAGCTGTGGAGAAAACCTTGAAACCTGCAAAGAGCTGATGGAAACAATAGAGGAGATGTGTCATGAGGAGAAGGTCGATTTCATGAAGGTCAGTAGTGAAATGCACAGCAAAGCAGTGGAGTGAGAGCTGAGATGACAGTTATGGCTGAGCTAGGTGGAGATGGCCTTGATTGATGTTGATGTTGGTAGTCAGCATCCATTTGATTTCTTTGGGTGTTCATGATGATGAAGTTGCCAGCATAACTCCACTGTGAGGAGCAGAGAAAGCTCATATACTGCTAACCTACTCCCTCTGCCATTGCTGAGTAACAGCAGTCTTTGTTCCTCTGTCCTAGTTACCTACATATCTCTCCCCTCATCCTACAGCTGAGCCAAGACAGTGTTCTGAGAGTCTGAGAGTTTTCTAGATGAGCCCTAGGTGCTCTAGGGAGAAAGTTGTCCAGGAGAAAAAGGCATTTCAGATATCGCAGTTACAAGTGTGATATTGCCAAGAAGTCAGCCTCTATCATGGCAGCTCTGTGCACAATGAGATCAGACCACTGTCATCCATAGTGTTTTCATTGGCTGATTTTTGGGTGTAGATTGCCAGACATTTCTTCCTAATCTGTCTTAGTCTGGGAACTCTGCTGAATCTTGTTCAACATGAGAGCAGCACACAAGCCTCCACTGACAGATGGGTGGTGGCTGCCTTAGCCAGGAGTCAAACCTTCGGCTCCTGCATGGAAGGTGAGGATTCCACCACCGAGCCATGTTCTTAGGCTGGGAGTTCTAGAGAAACAGAACTAGAGAAATGGATTACAATTGTAGAGTCCCAGGTCCCCAGCAGAAGAGAGAGAGAAAGCCTTTCCTGCATGTCCATTCTATTGGGAGCAGGCCACACCCCCAAGGAAGCATCCCTTTAATTAACTGGCTGCTGATAGCCACTCATCAGCATTAATTATGCCTGTATTAGGTCTCCACACCATGGAAATAAGCACAACTCAACTGCTAAACCTCTGGAGATCCTGGCCTAGTCAAGTTGACACAGAACCTTAACGATGATAGCTCCCATTGCCCTCTAGCTATAAATGTGCCAGTTAGAAGTCTTACTTTATAAGCTCAGAAATGCACAAAATGCATTAATTTTCTTAAAATCAGATTAAACTGACCCCAAAACCCCAGGCAGTCGGTTGTGGGAATTTCAGTCTCAGTCAGAACTAAGGCCCCCAGGAATATGAAGGCAGATGTGGTGTCAGGATGTGAAAGAGGGACCCTCAGCCTTGATAGCTTTGCGGTTGTCAAATGTCCAAGCCCATGGTCACTCCTCAAAGGCCAACAACCTCACCTTCCTGCCCTGCTGGGAACAGAGGATCGGTGACTAACGTGGGGAAGAAATTGGGCATCATTAGAACCATACACATATTTTGAACCACAGTTGTCACTGGAGATCAAAGGCATAATGCAGAATGAGGAGCCAGTAATATACATAAAGATGTGCATCTCATCAAATGGTTAATAACCAAAATGCCCAACAATAAAAGAACAGTTAAGTAAATGACTGAGTTTCCATCCAATGAACTGTTACACCATTTTTCATGCTGATGGTCCTGGAGGCCATTTGTAACAGGGAAACTGCTTACAGACTATTGATGGGGAAAAGCAGTGGATATAAATTAAGTGGTTGCAAGTGTGTTCAGCCACATAAAATATGCAAGGAAATGCAGGTGATACACAGATGACATGATTACTTTTTTCTTTTCCTTAATATCCAAGTTTTAAAGATATGCTTATATTACTATCTAGTTTAATGAAGAAATTTATTTCCCCAAACAATTAAATACTGTCTCTTTTTTCTCTTCCTATTTAGGATGCAGTGGTTATGGCTGACAGGTAATCTATTTGTTCTGACAAATATCTTACTGTTCAGTTCCTTCTACCTCTAGATATCCAAATAGACTCAGCTCCACTTTGCTATATGATTACTGTTTCCGTGTCTGGGTGTGAGATCACAAGGATCCTCTCTAGTCTCAAACGTCAGAATCTCAGGATTGGGTGGCACTGTAGGATAAGCGCTAGACTGCCAACCACAAGGCCAATAGTTCAGCCCCATTACCCACTCCATAGGAGAAAGATGAGACTTTCTGCTCTCAATACTATTTAGGGTCAGTATAACTTAGAACTGACTTGATGGCACCTAACAAAGGCTGGATGGTACCATACGGTGAGGCCCAGCCACAAACAGGGATGCTTCTGCAATAAGTAAATAAGACAATGGTTGTAAACATGCATGTAGAAGGTAAAGACTGAAAGATTAAGTGATGGATTTTGGCTAAAGTCAAATCGGGTTTCAAATTCTGCCTTTGTCTCTGCAAACCCTCTTTCTACTGGGAAACCAGTCCGAGAAGATCCAGAGACTCACTTCATAGTCAGCAATTTGAGGGTGCTTGGCCATGTAGAAAGGATCCCTGGTGGTGCTGTGGGCTAAGCATTGGGCTACTAACCACAAGGTCAGCACTTCAAGCCCATCAGCTACTCCTCAGGAGAAAGATGAGGCTATCTGATTCCATATGATTTGCAGTATGGAAACTCTATCCTAAATCAGAATTAACTCATTGGCAGTGAGCTTGCTTTGGTTCTGGTAGACCATGTGGAAAGGAAGCCCTAAGAGAGCCTGAACCCTAACAGTCACCTTCTGTAGGATTTGGGGCATGGCAGGGGGTGGGAGTTTCCAGGTTAGTACTTCAAGGAAATTCCAGAGGGAGTGGATCTGGGTTTCTTGTGTTGTTGTGTTATTGTTAAGTGCCATTGAGTTGGTTTAGGGTTTCTGAGGAGCAGTTGGTGAGTTTTAACTGTTGACCTTGCAGTTCAAACCAATCCTTGTGGTCACATGCTTATTCTACAGCACCACACGAGGACTCCAAGCAACCCCTCAAGCATACCTCCCTTTCAAAGATACAAACTTATCCCACCCATCCCCAATAATGACCTTCTAGGTCAACCACCAAAGCAGATGATTTGTTGTTGTTAAGTGCCATCGAGTCGGTTCCGACCCATAGCGACCCTGTATAGTTTCCAAGGAGCTGCTGGTGAACTTGAACTGCCAACCTTGCAGTTCAAACGGCTTTGCAGTCTGGCACATTAACCCACAGAACCACACCAGGACTCCAAAGCAGATGATAGAAGTCAGCAAAAACATGTTAAAATACAGAAATGAAAGCTCAGCAAAGTAGCCTCTTCTTTTATTCCTAGTGACCCAGCATGTAGAGAATGCCCCTCTAATCTTGTGAATATGTCTTTTTGTACCAACAGACTTGGAAAATTTCTGAAAACAAAAACGGATGTGGAACTTTCTGCCCACCCTGACTTTGAAGACCAGAACTTGGACTTCTCCGAAGTGGAGCAGCTGATGGACTCCATTAACACCATCCCAGGTGAATGTCTGACCCGTGTACATCTGAAACACACCAGCTGTCATCCAGGCAACTCTGTGTGTCAGAGTAGAACTTCCATAAGGTTTTTAATACCTGATGTTTTCAGAGGTATCTATGGGTGGACTTGATCTTGCAACTTTGTGATTAGCAACTGAGCATGTTAACTGTTTGCACCACTCAGGGACTTTGCCTGTGTACATTGTTGTTGTTATTGTTGTTAAGTGCCGTCAAATCAGTTCTGATTCACAGCGACCCTGTATAGCATTTCCAAGAAGCGGCTAGTAGATTTAACCACCAACCTTGTGGTTAACAGTCCAGTGCTTATCCTACAGCACCACACCAGGACTCCACACAGCATGGCAATTTCAGATTTCCCTAAGCAATAAATTAGAAAGTTTTGATGGCTAAAGAAATCATAAAGATTTAGGAATCAGTTGTTTTTGTTTTTGTTTCTCTGTAATTTCATGGTTTTATTTCTATGGTTTGTAAGAGTACAGAAGCCATTTCTTAAGGGTAAGCATCCACTTTCACCATTCAGAGCACCTGCATCTGGCCCCAGGCAGCCTTAGACTATTTTCTGCTTGCAGCCCTCCCAGCTTCAGAAGACACTACCTTACTACTTACTGAATTGACACCAAGCAAACATTTTCCTTCAATGTCATATTTATGTTCCTCCTGGAGAGAGGCCACTGATAGCATGCCTGGGAGGCTGTTTAGTATATAGAACTAGTTGAGAATCTCAGTTCTGCTCTGTGACTTTGGATAACTTACCTAACTTCTCTGAGCCTTGGTTTCCTCACTTGTAAATGGACACAATAATGAGGATTTAGAGATAATTTGATAAAGTAAGATCTGTACAGCATCTCACATGGTAGTAGTAGGTAGCTTTTTAAAAATATCACTGTGATTGCTTATTTTTTAGAATAATAGACTTCTTTGACTCCTTACTTTCCCTTCCAACAACATGATAGCAAACAACATTGTGTATATCATTTCCATTTTTTCCTTTGCTTAGATTTTTAAAATAAAAATGGGATTATGCTGTTTTGTAATCTGCTTTGTTCTCTTTCAGCAAACAACTATAATGAAAACTTTCTTACACAGATAGATTCTTCCTCAGTATGATCTTAATGGCTATGTGAATCTTTTATTATGTAGAAGGAAGTACCCTAACTTATTTACTTAGTTGCTGTTGCTAAAGCATCTGTTTCTAGATTTTTCACCATTACACACCATACTTAGCAATCAGTCTTTGGGACTATTCTTAGGATCATTGGATCAAAGAAGATTCTATTTGGCTACAGTGCCCTATGGATGGTCCTTTTCCCCTCCTAGGAGTCTAGTAACACCATTAACACCATCACTGTTCTGTCCAAATAATCAGGTCTGGTGTGGTGCTGTAGGATCAGCACTGGACTACTAATCGCAGGTTGGTGCTTCAAATCCTCCAGTCACTCCTCGGAAACCCTACACAAGGTCACTATGAGTTGAACTGACTTCACAGCACTTATCAACAATCATTCCATGGGAGTCCTGGTTAGGCACTGTAGGTTATAAACTGGAATGCTAACTGCAAGGTTGGTGGTTCAAACCCATCAGCTACTCCTTGGAAACCCAATACAGGGTTACTGTGAGTCAGAACTGACTCATCAGCACTTAACAATAACAATAGTAATTATTTGGAGGAACACAATGGGGTAAGCATTGGACTGTAAATACAAGGTCAGTGGTTCAAACCTAGCAGCAGCTTCACAGGAGACAGATGACGCTGTCTGCACCCATAAAGATTTACAGTTCTCAGAAACCCTATAGAGCAGTGCTACTCTGACCTACACAAGGTTGCTATGAGTTGGAATACATTTGATGGCAGTGAGTTTGGTTTTGGGTTAGTTGTTTAGATACCTGGATTCAATTTCTAGCCAATGTGCCTCATGGGCGGTCACTATCAGTCTGGATGTGGAGACATGTGTTGCTATGATGCTGAACATGTTTCAGAGGAGCTTAAAGATTAAGACAGACAAGGAAGAAAGGTCTGGCAATCTACATACAAACATCAGCCAATGAATACCCTATGGATCACAATAGTCCCACCCTGTGATACATGGGGACCTACCTGATGACAGTCAACAGCAGTCCTTTGGAAGGAAAAGTACTATCATCCACATCAGCCCTTGAGAGACACTGAGAGTTACTCTTCACCCCCAGCGTCTGGACCTCATGTGGACCCTCTCCCTCCTGCTTACATCAGTTACATCTGGAAGGATCTAACAAGCCCCAGAACCATCTCTCCCCTCACACTGGGTCTTTTGGTGCAGAGAATGTAAGAAGGTATCTTCTGTGCATCTTCATTTGTCATGTGGGAATATCCATTTTCTGCTTTTCATCTTTTGTCATGTATGACCTTCTAGCCTGTTATAGTTTGGGGAGCAAAATTAGTAAAACATATGTAAATATGTAGAAAGAGAATTTGCATATAAATATATGTTGTTGTTATGTGTGGTAGAGTCAGTTCTGATTCATAGCCACCCTGCATAGGGTTTCTAAGGAGCAGCTGGTGGGTTTGAACCACGAGCCTTGTGGTTAGCAATCCAAGTTTATCCTACAGCACCACATCAGGATTCCAAATAAATATATTGAAATGTATATAAATGCATATAAATATATAGAGAGAGAATTTCTTCAGTAACTGTGAGGAAATGACTCACACAGTTGTGGGGGTTGGCAACTCCCCAGACCCATGCATCAGATGGTAGGCTGATTAAGTCAGCTGGCTCCCTTGTTTGAAGGACTCAAAAGCTACAGGGCAAGTCAGAGACTTCTGTAGGCTTATGTCCCGAGAACCAGTGGTCAGGCAACGAAGAGTGCAAAGTCAAGAAAGAGAACAAACTTCACTAGAACATCCATTTATATACTGGAGGCAGGCCACACCCCCAAGGAAACATCCCTTCCAACTGATTGGCTGCTCACATCAGATCACAAAAAGGAAAGTGATTACGTAGTATCTGCCAAGCCACTGAGAATCATAGTTTAGCCAAGTTGTCACATAACATTAACCATCACTCAGCCCCTGACCAGAAATAAAAGGACTGAATACAGTAAAAGGAACTCCTTTTAATTAAAACTTTGACACTAACCGGAATCAAAACCCACTCCACTGCCTTTGTGTCAATTTTGACACATAGTGACCCTATATACAGTTTCTAAGACTGTAAATCTTTATGAGAGCATATAGCCTCATCTTTCTCCTGAAGAGCACTTGGTGGGTTTCAACCACTGATCTTGTGTTTAGCAGTCTAGTGCCTAATCCACAGTGTTTTCAGGGTTCCTTGTTTGACACTAAGAACTTTCTTAAAAGCCTGGGATGAAGGGAGATGTTTCCATGGGAATAGACTTATGGAGGAAAAACACTACTTGATTTTCTTCTTGGTTGTGAGTTTGCATTGGTGTAGGCGAGGCAGAGGTACTAACCTACAGAGAAGAAAAGAATAAACTTGATAGATAGATTCTGAAGAAGTTGATTGTGAAAAATGCAATTGGCTAATCCCAGTCTTCTCTCATTGTAATGTGGGAGATGGTCGTTGGTCCCTGTTGAAGTCTTCTTGCCCTTGCCCACTCCAGAGGAAGCATCATTACACAGCCGTCGTTATACTGCCTCTTAAGATGGCATGAGAGGGCAGGAAGAGCTATAACTGGGGGCAGAACTTATGATCCAGTAATTCCTCTACTTGGTATTTACCCACAAGAAATATGAGCCAAAACATGAGAAGATATATGTGCACCAATGTTCATAGCAGCACTATTTACAATAGCAAAAAGATGGAGACAGCCAAAGTGCCCATCAGCTGAAGAATGGATAAACAAACTATGGTACTACACACAATGGAATATTATGCTACCTTGAAAAATAACACGGAAACTGCAAGCCACCACATAACATGGATGAAACTAGAGGACATTATGTTGAGTGAAATTAGTCACAAAAGGAGAAACACTGCATAGGACCACTACTGTAAAAGTCTAAGAAAAAGAACCCATACTAAACGGGGGTGGATTCTTTGCTGGTTGCTGGCATGTGGGGGTGGGGTGATGGGAGGGAGGGGAAGGTGGAGCACAGGGCAGGGAATAGACACCCGATAGTTTGGAGGCAGAACTCAGAGGCTGTCCCCTTCTCCCCAGAGCTTTTGTGGCTTTGTCAAAGCAGGAATGGATTCACTGACTATTCTGTGCAGGCTCATGGTTGGGAGGTTTTACCTTCTCACCTTTGTCCACCCCGGCTGTCTCTTCCATGCCCAAAGGCCACAGATGCACTGGGGAAAGTCATCCTGTGGAAAGGACTGCTCCTATCCTCCTATCCCATTCCTCTACTAAGACTCCTTATTTGTTTCTGGGTTTTTCCTCCTTTTTCTTTTTCTAGTTCCATCTGCTCCAGTGATAAATCCACAGGCCCCAAACTCAGCCACAGGTTCCTCAGTTCGCGTGTGCTGGAGTTTATACTCTGACGACACTGTGGAGAACTACCAGCTGTCCTACCGGCCGGTTCAGGATGGCTGCCCCCCGGAGGACCAGGCAGGTGAGACTCTGGATGCCTGGGCCCAGTCGGCCTTCTTGGCAGTTAGAAACATGGAGGTGGGTTACATCTGCGGCAGTTGTGATCTGGGAATCATGAAGAGTTCCATTTGGCCAGAGAGGATGCAGGCAGGTAGACGAGCAGTGGCAAAAAAGGCTGGAAGACTAGTTGGAGCTTGACTGAGTAGGACCATGAGACCAGAATAAGGGCCTCTGGGTGGGTTTGAACCTCCAATTGTTCAGCTAGTAACCAAGTGCTTAACTGTGTGTACCACCCAGGCAGCTTTGTTTACATGGTAGTAGAAGTGTTCCCAGGAGCAAAGGACAAGATGCCATTGTGCTAACTCTTTCAAAGCTTCTGCTTGCTACCATCCCATTGACCAAAACAAGTCATGTGACTAAGCCCAGCCTCAACAACCAGGAGACCAACTGCACCTTTTAAAGGAAGGAGCTGCAAAGTCATGCACAGAGGGGTGTGCACACAGGGATGGGAGGGATGTGTAGCCAGTTTTGTAAACTGCAAGGGAAAGATTTAGCACAATGCATTTGGAACCACTCTGCCTATTTTTAGAATTGAATTCTTGTCTTTTTCTTTTTTTTCTTTCAGAGTTTACAGTGACTGTCAAAGAAACATATTGCTCAGTGACAAACCTTGTCCCAAATACCCAGTATGAATTCTGGGTCACAGCTCAGAACAGGGCTGGCACCAGCCCTGCCAGCGAGTGTGCGGTGTATATGACAGGTACTGTGGCCGCTGGTTTTCTGTAGCAGGGCCTTCGTTTCAGGGACACGCGAGTGGCGGGGTGGTTTAGACATGGCAACATTCTTAAATTCATTTGGAAGGACAGAAATAGCAGTTTTTAATGTGAGGTGTTTTTTTTTTCCCCCCGTTTAGTAAAATAAATCTGCATGCCTGTTGTCTTTGTTTTGTAGGTTACTGTATCACAAATATCACAAGTGGGTGACTTTAAAGAATGGAAATTTATTTCTCATCGTTTTGAAAGCTAAAAGTCCAATCAGGGTCTCAGCTGTACCTATCCCTTCCTTGTCAGTAGCCTTGGATGTTCCTTGGGTCCTTGGTGATTGTCACGTGGCATGTGCCTTCACCCGTGCATATATGTCCTTCTGTGTCTAAGCTGCTCATTTTACAATTCAGAAGTGGTTAGATTTAGGACCCACCCCTAGACTGGTATGTAACAGAAAAACTCTATTTCCCAACAGAATTACAACCACAGAGACAGGGGTTAGGATACCAACACATATTTGCTGGCTAGTGGTTGTGTGCCATGGAGTCTATTCCAAATCATAATGACTCCCAAATCATAAATCTTTATGGGAGCAGAAAGCCTCATCTTTCTCCCACAGAGCAACTGGTAGTTTCAAACTGCTGACCTTGCAGTTAGCAGCCTAACTCATAATCCACTACACTATTAGGGCTTCTCAACACATATTTGGGGGAGCACAACTCAATAAATAACAACTGATATGGCAGAGACATTACTCATGGGTGGTCTCAAAATATCAAAGATTCTACTCTCAGCCACACTTCCATTAGATCCTTACAACTGGTCTCCAAGGGGCCTTGGTGGCACAAAGACTAAGCGCTCGACTTCGAACCAAAAGGTTGTCTGTTGGAACCCACTAGCCACTCCCTGGGAGAAAGCTGTGACCGTCTGCTCCTGTGAAGATTCCAGTCTAGGAAACCCTGCTCTGTCATAGTATGCAGCCACCATGAGTTGGAATTGATGCCATGGTACCCAACAACTAGTTTCCACTCTACAAACATCTGCAAGGCAGTCACTGGTCTGTTTTTTATTGCACCAACACTATTTTTGTGGGGAGGAAGAAGGTCTTGTGATGTTTATCCTTGACTTTGAAGAGAATTGCTAGAAATGCACAGGTATTTGCTCATATCTCCCTTTTCTCCTGCACTTAGCGCCTTCTCCCCCCATCATAAAAGTCAAAGAGATAAGGAGCTGCGAAGAGGCTGCGCTGATTTGCTGGGAATCTGGGAACCTGAATCCTGTTGACTCGTACACAGTGGAGCTGACCCAAGCAGAAACACCAGAGGCCTCCGGTGTCACTGAGTAAGTCACAAGGGGCATTTACTGGCCTCCAGAGGCTTTGGCACCTGATACAGTAACAGGACTTAGTAAATATATGGAGTCTGCCTAGCAGGTCAGAATTTGTGACACAGCCCTATTGCTGTTTTGTTAGGTGCCGAAGAGTTGGATCCAACTCATAATGACCCTATGCACAACAGAATGAAACACTGCCCTAACCAACCTAATTTTATGTCGCTTAGTTTTTGAGAGTCTTGGTGTACCACTGTAGGATAAGCACTGGACTGCTAGCCATAGATCCGTGGATCAAACCAACCAGCATCTTCTCAAGAACACTATATAGGGTCACCATGAATCAGAACCAACTCATAGCACTTAACAACAACAATAGTTTTTGAGGTAGGAGCTTTGGTGGCACAAAAGCTTTGGTGGCTCGATACTAGCTAAAAGGTCATGAGTTTGGATGCACCAATTGATCCTCGAGAGACAGACTGCTTCCATAAAGAGTTACAGCCTCAGAAACCCTGTAGGGTGACTCTACTGTGGCCTTCAGAGCCACTAGGTGTCTGAATCAACTCAGGTGCAGTGAATGTGGTTTGGGGTTTATCTTCACAAGAAGTAGCTGGATGGAACTGAATTCACTCCCAGTGTTAAATCTTCAAACAACAGACAGGCCTATAGGGGACTAAAACACTAGAAAGATACCCACACCTTAGACTCATCAGCCATTTGAGATCAAAAGAGCAGCATCTGCCCAAGGACAAAGTTCAGAAGGGTTAGGAAAGAAGGAGGAATGAAAATAAGGAGATACAAGGAGGAAGTGAGATAAATGATGTTACATTGTGGAAAGTTCAACCAATAATATGACACAAAATGTATTTGAATTGTTGAGTGGAAAATTGATTTGTTCTGTAAACTTTTATTCAATTCACAATAAAAGTTATTTTTGCTGTTGTTGTGTTTAAGAAGTAGCTTCAATGCTGTTCTTGAAGGTGATTGAAGATGAGTGAATGAATAAAAGGTTAAACCTCAGGTTCACTTTTTAAAATCTCATTTAAGGCTTCCTATTCATTCATTCGTTTATTCAACAAGTACTGATGCCTACATGGTATAAACACTTGTACCAGCACTGGGGATCTAGGCAGATAAATTCCCAGCCATTATGGGGCTGACAATTGAGTGAAGAAAATAAACAAAACAAACAATAAGAAGAAGAAAACAAACGCATAAATGCTGAACATGTATCTTTCCTGCAGACCTGAAATGGCTGGCAACCATACCTATATAAGGACCCTGAGTGGTACAGTTGGCACCTGACTGCTAACTTAAAAATTGGCAGTTCATGCCCACCCAGTGGTACCACAGAAGACCAATTAAACCCAACCCACTGCCACCAAGTTAATTCCAACTTACAGTGACCTTATCTAGGGTTTCCAAGACTAAATCTTTATGGGAGCAGAAAGCCTCATCTTTGTGCCACATGGGACTGGTGGGTTTGAACAGTCGACCTTGTGGTTAGCAGTCCAATGCTTACCTTACTGTGCCACCTGGGCTCCTTCAGACCTGATGATCTACTTCTGTTAAGATTGGTGGTGGTAGTGATTATGTGCCGTGGAATCGGTTCCAACTCATAGTGACCCTGTACAGGGTTTCCGAGGCTATGATCTTTACCAGAGCAGAAAGCCTCTTCTTTCTCCCGTGGAACAGCTGGCAATTTCGAACTGCTGACCTTGAGGTTAGCAACCCAACTCGTAACTACTACGCTACCAGAGCTCACAGCCAAGAAAACCCTAGGGAGCAGTTCTACTCTGTAACACAATGAGATCACCATGAGTCAGAATGGTAACGTATAGGACAAATTGAATTAGTTAGAGTATTCCCAAAAGGAATGGGGTGAGCAAAGATTAATAGCAATGGGATTCTATCAAATGAGCCCTTTCAGTTCTGATCAGAATCATTTATTCATAGGTGTGTATTGAGCACCTGGTATGGGCTCAGCACTGAACTAAATAAGGTAAGGGTACTTGGTCCCTGCCTCTCAGAGGTTCTGATCCTAACAGACAGATGAAGACACAAGACTTTACTGCATGAATGCCTCCAATGATGCTGCATTAAACACACTGTAGGTGCTAAAGAAAATAGGATGAGGAGATTGGGAAGGCAGATGGGCACAAACACAAGGCGTATCAAGGAAGTGAGACAGTGGAGGGAACACCTCAGAGGAGTTAACACTCTTAGCTGTGCCTGCTTTGGCTTTGTTGCTGTGGAACAAAGGACAAGGGGCTACAAAATGAGTTCAAACTCCCAGCGTCTCCTTTACACTAATAAAGAGAGCGCTGAAGAGAAATACTATAACAAAATGTGCAAAGAAGTTAGAACACCAAAAGGGAAGAACACGTTCAGCATTTCTCAAGCTGAGGGAACTGAAGGAAAAAAACCAAGCCTGAACTTGCAATATTAAGTTATGATGTTGGTGGAGAATATTAAAAGTACCACGGACTGCCAAAAGAGCAAACCAATCTGTGTTAGAAGAAGGATGGTCAGACTTTGTCTCTCATACTTCAGACATATTTTCGGGATGTACCAGTCCCTGGAGAAGGACTTCATGCTTGTTAAAGTGGAGGGTCAGCAAAAAAGAAGACCCCAACAAGATGGATTGGCACAGAGGCAGCAGGAATAGGTTCAAATGTAACAATGATTGTGAGGATGGCGCTGCACTGGGCAGTGTTTCATTCTGTTGTACATAGGGTCACTATGAGTTGGAAACAACTAACCAGTAACTAACAACAATATAGAGAAAACTATAAAACATTACTAAAAGAAATGAAGAGATCTACAAAAATGGAAGAATATTATACCATACTCATTGCTAAGAAGACATAACATTGTGAAAATGTCAACACTACCCAAAGCAATTGATAGGTATAAAGCATTTCCAATCCTGAAGGAAACTCTAATCACTAACTTTATGTGGGAAGAAAGAAATCCCAAATAAGCTAAGCATTACTAAAGAAAAAGAACAAAGTAGGAAGCTTCTCACTTTCCGATCTCAAAACCTACTACACAGCCACAGTGGTCAAAACAGCCTGGTACTGGTACAATGAAAGTCACAGATAAATAGAACAGAATTGAAAACACAGAAGTAACCCATCTACATATAATCAGCTGATGTTTGACAAAAGGCTAAAGCACATTAAATGGGGAAGAGATAGATTCCAACAAATGATGCTGGTAAAACTGGAAATCCACTTGCAGAAGAATGAAACAAGGCCTATATCTCACACGATTTACAAAAGCAAATGCTACATGGTTTCTTTAAACCTAGATGTAAAACCTAGACCTATAAAGATCATCTATGAAAAAAATAGGAACAAACTTAGAGACTGTTATAAATGGCATAAATATACTATCAAACATAATTAAGAACACACAAAGAGCAGAAGACAAAATAGATGACTGGGACCTCCTAAAAAATTAGGCACATATGTGCATTAAAAGATTTCACCAAAAGAGTAAAAAGAACACACTGACTGGAAAAAAATTTTGGCAGTGACATATCAGACAAGGGACTAATCTGTATAATTTATAGAAAACACTTCAATAAGAAAAAAAACAAATAACCCAACTGAAAAATTGGTAGTGGATATCAACAGACATTTCATCAAAGAAGACAGTCATGCAGCTAAGAACTGCTTGTGATCATTAGACATTTGCTATTATTAAGTGCTGTAGAGTCGATTCCCACTCATAGCAATCCTGTAGAGGGTTTCCAAGGAGTGGCTGGTGGGTTTGAACTACCGACCTTGTGGTTAGCAGTCCAGTGCTTATCCTCCAGTAAATAGATGCAATCGAAACACCAATGAGATGTCGTCTCACCCCAGCATTAATAGAAAAGTTCAAAAGAGCAGAAAACAACAAATTCTGGCGAGGATGTAGAGAGACTAGGATCCTCCTACACTGCTGGTGGGTCTGAAAATGGTTCAACCACTGTGCAAAATGGTATGACACTTCCTCAAAAGCTGAAACTAGAAATATCATATGACCCAGCAACTCTCTACTTGGTATATATCTTCAAAAAAATAAGAGATGAGACATGAATAGGTATTGGCACACTCATGCTCATCACAGTACTGTTCACAACAGCAAAAAAGATGGAGGCAGTTTAAATGTCCAAATGGATCAGTAAACTATGATTGATATACACAATGGAACACTATGCAACATTGAAGAATAACAGTGAATCTTTGAAATACATCGGAGCATGGATGAACCTGGAGGTCATTATGCTGAGTGACATTATTCAACCTCAAAAGGACAAATATTGCTTGAGAACACTACTGTAAAAAGTCAAGACAAGGTTTTCATGATGGTTACTAGGGAGGGGAGGGAGGGAAGGGACAGTAATTCGCTAGCTAGAGGGTAGACATGTGTCAATTTGGGTGATGGGGAAGGCAATTAAAAAGAGAAAAGAAAAGGCTTAAAGCCTTTTCAGGATTTAAAGGCTGACATGCAGTATGTGAAGGATGGATTTGTAGCGTTAGGGGTTTTAATTTTAAAGTGAGGACAGATTTACTTACATTATAGGAAGTAGGAATTGTCTGTAAGTCAGATACCCATAACCCAGGGACTGCCTGTATTGAAGATCACAAAACTAAATATGATGAGAGTTACACTTTACCAGTAACTCCATGTGACATACAAAAATTCAAAGACAGTCATCAGGGCTGGTGCTTAGATGATGTGATGGGGTGATGTCAGCTCTGGTGGTTTACCAGCCAATGAGGATCCCTTGGGGCCCCATCAGAGGAGACCTGTGTCAACCAGTGGGTTGTTATTCCTAGTGGGCTGCTAGCACAACTGCTTTGTTAGAAGTCACCAAAGGAGAAACCAACTCCTCTCCACTCCTCTGAGGTCCTGAAAGCAAGAAAAAGGACACAGAAAATCATATCAAAAGACAGCAATGCCTTTGTATTGGAAGAGGTGAAAAGCATACTGGGACATCAGTCAGCATTGCAAGTAAGTGTTGGGGAGCAGAAGAGGTGGCGCCTACCTAGAAATGAGTACAGGTCAGAGTTGCAGACCATGACTAATGAGGACACTCTTATCACCGGCTAGGTTTCGCACTACAGGTTTTACTTGTTTAGTTTTATTAATGGGTAGCATTATTCCTCAAACAGCACAGAGAGGCAGAAACTATTCATATCTAAATTTTATAGATGAGAACATTAATGATCATGGAAATGAAACAACCTGTCCAAGGTCATGCAAAGGACAAGTGATGGAACCAGGACTTGCTATGATTCTAAAGTCCCAGGATCACCATTACTCCAATGCTTCCAAAGCCCTAGCCTGATCAGTCCTTTTCAGTTCAAAGTATGAGCTGCACTTAAAAGCTTGTTAAACATATAGAAACTTGGTACCCCCTCAGGTCTGCTGGACTGAATCTGCATTTGATCAAGATCTCCTGGAATTTTCTGTGAACATTCAAGTGAGGGAAATTCAGCTCTAAATCAAACCACATAATGATTTCACAAGTACTTTCTTCTATCACTAGTGTGATAGCATATTTATAGAAATTAAAAGTAAAAAAATGGTCCAATAAACTGAGAAATAAAAAAGTGATTAAAAAAATTCTAGCATCTAAAGAGATCGCTAATCTGTCAGTTTGTCATACTGTGGTGGTCTGTAATTTGCTGTGATTCTGGGAGTTTTGCCACAAGTATTTTAAATACCAACAGGGTCACCTACGGTGGACAGGTTTCAGACGAGCTTCCAGAATGAAGACAGACTAGGAAGATGGAGAGACAAACTACTTCTGAATATTTAGTCACTGTAAGCCTTATGAATAGCAGAGAAACACTATCACATATACTGCCAGAAAATGAGCCCCTCA